AGGTAAAAGATTTACTTCATCCACGTCATTAAGGTAGACTCTATTTTGAGGAGACAGCTATTCTTCAGTCATATTTTGAGAGCCTTCCAACCTGAGGGGCTCACCTTCTGGCACTATGTCAGTGTTCTGCTGATATTCACAGGATTTTACTCCAGAGCCCATTATTTCAGAAGTAGAGGGCCAGTTAAGTGAACAGTAGATGACCCGTAAAGCAAGACAAAATTAAGAGACTTTCCTTAAATCTCTACCACTGGAAGTGTAGAAACTAAACCTTCACTCTCTGGTTTTCTTGAAACTAGATCTTTTCTTCCAAAATGGGGTGGGGGAAATCCCCAGGTTATTCCCTGTGCTAAGAGGAAGTGAAAAACAGAGTAAAAAATAATTATGTAAAATTAAATCCCTTCCTACATAGTTAAAAAATTATATGCCATTTAAAACAGTAAAAAGTATATTTCAAAGCTTAGTACATCACCCAGTTCTTGTTGTTGTGTGCTGTTGTCAAGACATGACTGACTCAGAGCTGACCCTGCAGTGGGTTTTCAGAGGTAGTTAATCATACAAGGGCCGATTACCCATCTTTCTCCCATGGAGTGGCTGATGGATTCAAACAGCATGCCCCTCTTTGGGTTGACAGGACAATTCCTAGTGGCAAAAAGCTGTACTGCAATTCCCAAGGCACACAATTCAAATCCACAATTCCTCCCCAGGAGAAGGCTGGGCAATCTCCTCGTGTGTGTTGTTCTGCCTCTGAAAATCCACTAGAGGGTCAGTTATGGGTCAGTTCTAACTCACGGCACACAACAACACAACAGGCCACCAGAGCTCTCTAAGTACCATTAATGGTCCACATAAGTACCATTAGAAGGTCTAGGTGCACATGCGTATACACATACAATATGAGAATGATTTCTTTTTCCTGTTCTATTTCAATATTCTAATTTGGTTAAAAATAACTAGTCAATCTTATGATATGGTAAGAACAGCTATTTCTTAGCCTGAGGCATTCTGAAGACAAAGTATCCTCAAATACGGTACAAATAGCATGGTGATGGGGTGTCTGGCCTTTTCTAACTTCACAAAGATGAAGAAGAATCCCCTTAAAGATGATTTTCTCTAACAGGGAGGTGACTCATACTTTCTCTCCAGCCTTTTACCAATCTGACACTAGTTATCCCTCCCATAGCACTCTCTGATTCTCTGCTGGGTTTGATCATTCGTTGCAGTGGTCACACAGTAATCAAAGGCTATGCTCTTAGTGACTGGGTTTATTTAGGAAGCAACAGATTACAATTTAAGATTAAGAATGATTCAGTATATATTTGGTCAGGAAAGCTACTTCTAAGTCATACCATAGGTGTGGGCCTCAAAGCCAGTCTAGCCCTTGCTCCTCTCAGACAACTAGTAAAGAGCTCCCTAACTTTGCCAGTAAGTGCCCAGGAACACCCTTACTCCACCAGGAAGCCTCCTCTTGTCCAAAATAGCTCAGCTCTCTTACTCTCTGTGTTTTCTGATGAGTCGAGCTCTACCAATAAGCAAGCAGCCAGCCTACTTTCTCTACCAGGAAACTTGTTCAAAGTCTCTCTCACACATTTACCTCAGCAAACTCACTCTGTCGATCAGTGAGCCCACAACATCATCTCATGCCTTCTCCCGCTTTTCTTCCTGTGAAATTGTGCCCAACACTGGTGTTCCATCTTCCTTTAATTCCTGTTAAAGTGTTTGCTATTGCTTTCCCTGACAAATCTAGGAGATTCTTAACCCAGGGACTCCCAGCTGTCTTCTTAGTGGTAATGAAAACTCCACTTTCTTCTGATTCAGTGGCAACTGGCTACAGAGCAAAAGCCACTGACTCAAAACATACAAGTGGTTAGAATTTGCTGCGATGATGACATGGTGTCTCCTGTGTTCAAATAAAATAAAAAAGCCCATTCTTTTCAAAATCATTAAAACTACAAGTCAACATTGTATATTAATTGAGTCAAATGAAGGATATTTGTTCCCCATCTTGATCTAGAAACTTATCCCCATCTCAACTGTCACTTCCTAAGCCTGGGCCATAATAAGAATTCACAACTGCTTTTCCCTTCTTCCTCTTTATTTGCTCCAATACATTTTATGCTAAATTACCAGAATATTCATTTCAATCCATTTTGTGCTAAATTACCAGAATATTTGTTTAAGATGGAAATCAGATGATATCACAGATTCTTCAATACTATCTTTGATGATGCCCTATTATTTTCCTTCTACGGCACACAACAACAAGAACAGTACTTAATACAATTATAATTGTATATTTAACTTGTTTAACACTTGCCTGCTCTTGATATATTTCAGGGTGATAGAAATTACCAAATTTTCATTTATCCCTATATCTCCAATGAATATCTGATTGAAAAAATTGCTAGTAACAGATTAGCCTGACAACTGCATTTAAGTCAACATTTAAGAGAAAATGTGCTGTTTTTATGACCAAAAGTCACTAAGAATTTGGTGAAAAACAGAGGTATTACACTTGGAGAAACAATCTAACAATTCATAGAAGAAAAGGAATAAAGGGGTCTCTCTGCCTCCATTATTCTCTAAGCGAGGTTTGAACTGCTGACCTAGAGGCTCTATGCCTTGAAATTTCTTGTATTGTCCTGCCTCATGACATTCAGATCAAAAGCAGGCTCTGTGTTTGATGATCCTTGCAGAGGACTCAGATCAAGATGCCTTTGACCTCAAGGGAATTAGATTACAAAATTAGATTAGCTGCCAAAGTCCACTCTATTAACAGTAGTCAGAAATTTTTGGCACCTGTTGTGCACACAGTATTTTGTACATATTAACCCATTTAATTCTTCCAATAGTCTAGTGAATAAAGACTTATTATCCCCACTTTGGAACTGAGGAACCTGCACCTCAGTGAAATGAAATAACTTGCCTAAATTCATATAGCTAGTAACCAACAGGATTAGAAATGCAGACACATTACAGACTCCATGTCCTTTGCATGCCATGTGATCTGTCTTTATAGGTATGTGGATTTCATATATTTAGACCACCAACAGAAAGCTTGATTGCTTATTTGTAACAAAGATTCATAACATCTGGGATCAACCCTTTTGATTAACAGTTGGTTGGAGTCTAGGAGCCTCTTATTTAAAGCTGTTGGGACCCAAAAGGTGAGCTTTTTTGATTAACACTCAATTCGGAGCTGGGGGAAGTATTGAAAGATGCCATGGACAATATGTTGAGTGATCCAAGTAACATCAAAAGATGGAGGATGTGGACAATAACTTCTCAATTCCTGTTCTTCCTTTCTGACCTGTGAAATGCCCTTCATTCATTTCTACAGTTTCTCCTCTTGCCTTGACTGCTCATTTTCTCTTCCATCGACCATTCTAATTTACGTGGGATTTCCCTTTCTTTTTTATTAAAGGTTGCCTTCATTTATTTCAGGACATCAAAAAGCCCTTGATTCTCAAATTTATTTAATTCTGTTTAATCCTGTTTAAACAAATAATTTTGAAAGATTAGCAAGAGTTCATCTATTGTCCACATTCTCAAAAAAGGAGCTTTCATAAAAGACAATAAAGTCATATGAAATTGATGAGTGGAACTGAAATGGGAAAAAGTGGCATTATGGTATCAAAGCACCAACTCAACTTGAAATGTAGAAAAGTAAGAAATGGCAAGTTCAGGAGCCAACTGGCACTCAGATGTGATGGGAAGCATATTGATGGGATCTTAAAAGTATTTTAGTGTTGCACCTCAGTTCATAAGGGCCTCAAGAACAATGGTGATCTTTCCATGACACAGTCAGTGCATTAGTGCGTGGTAGTGGTTCTGTGATTTTTAGTCCAGGAAGATAAGTGGAGTAGGTGAATTCCACAAAGGCGTGTTTTCTGTTTTGGCTGAGGCTTGGATGTGGACTGTTGCTCACAATTGGGTGTGAGCTGATTGGTTTGGTTTCATATTTTAAAAGGCATTAAAAAAAGGCATTGAAACCCACAGCGTCCCTTTTCAGCAGGAAGTAGCTAAGAGAATA